CATACTTACAATATAAATTAGAATTTCGTTTTTTTTTCATTTCTATCTTCTCCTACAGTTTTGGTCATAATTTTTATTTAAAATGGGTTTCATTAAAAACTATTTATACAATTCTAAAAATGATTAAACTATTTGAAGTTTAAAGTATAAATTCTCTTATGTGACTTTGGAATATATGTATTTTAATATAACCTATATTATTATAATATTAATGGTCAAATAAAAGCTAGTTTGATTTTCCAAAATATTTCAGATTAGTGTTATTGCTAATGTACACGTTTATTTAAAGGCAAAAATAATAACACTAAATGAAAATAATTGAACTTTATTGGTCTATAGATAGAATGTTTGAATAGATTTGAACCATAGATTTTATTTGATAAAACGAGAATCATAAACAATATTTGTACATGATTATTTTAAAAGGTATGAATTTAAAATACGGTATCATATATTTGATATATTTAATTATTTATCTATTTCTGTTTAACGTTCTCTCTTAAAAGTTATTATTCGTAATTTAAGACAAATTGTTATATTTTGATTTTCTGAAGTTGCATATAATTTTTTAATAGTTAAAATACAAATTTATTAAATAGTTTATAATATTATGATAGCTTACAATCTATAGATTCAAATTAATTTCCAAAAATGTGAATAATTCACATTAATAATTATTATTGTTGAAGTAAAATATAAAAATTTTAATAACTGATCACGTTATTTCTATATATTTAGAATATAAAAAAACTTTTTTTAATTTATAATTATTCTTATTAAAAATAGTTTTCTTATGATTAAAGCAATAGTATTACAAACTATTTTATAAAATAAAAATAATAATTATAATATGGAAATATGAAGAAGAACGTAAGCTGTATAAGAAATAAGATTTGAAATTTTATATTAAAAACATAGTTTGTGGAATTGTATTTTACTGAGAAAATATTTTTTTTTGTCCATAATTGAACCTTATGGTATATTATTTCACTAATGTTTCCGATCATTTCGGTTCAGATTCTGCATTAATCAGTGAAATTATTTTTCTGCTAAAGTTATATCCTTCAACAGTATTATCTCAATATAATTCTGAAAAATGTGTACAATATTAAAAAATATATTCTAGAATAATTATATATAATAATAAAAAACTACAATAATTGTACAATTATTGTGTTTCAAAATATTATTTATAGGGTTATGACATTTTTTTTAAATTAAACTAGTAGTTTTTATATTCCATCTAAAATAATGAGGGTAATTTTATAGAAACTTAATTAGTGTTTAAATTCTAAATGGAAATTCTATTCTATTATTTTATGTATTTTAACACAAAAATTTCCGAATACAATAACTATAACAATTCCAGTAACAAATTATTTCATTAGAAATTGAATATTTTTTTATAGTTTGAAATAATTATGGACTAAGATCTAATAAATCGGATTTTTACAAAACTTACTTTTTTTAGTTATAATTTTTAACTACTAAAATCTCAACGGTTTTTTACGAAAAAATGAAGAGTTTAAATATTTTATTACTGAATTTTAATTAAAAAGTTTTAGCTCTACATAATACGATAAATATGTTGACATTTTTCCTAAAAAGTCATAGTATCTTTTAGTTTTTTGATTGCGAAATTTTAGTTATAAATAATAACTTATGATAATTCTCATGTGTTTACTTGATAGCTTTTAAAATTTATTTTTGTTATTTTGAAGTTTCGAATTTTGAGAATAACATCCAAAGTAATTGGATATAAAAATGACTCTTTTGAACAACTTATTAAATTATGTAGACTTAATTACGATTGTCGTCAAAAAAAAAATTGACAAAAACATTAGTCGATTAATTGGCAATTAATATTAAGAGAAAAAATGCTTTGTTCTATGATAAGACATGAATCTTAAAAGTGTCACATGCTTGGGATGTAGCGTGTATGTAGTTATCAAGAAGACCTTAGAGCAATTGACTTATAGATAATTGTATACAATTGTCAAATTTAGTAGAATTAATACGTGACTAATAATCGTATAGTTTCAAGGAGGATAAAGGACTTAAAGAATAATGGAAATGTATTGATGGACTTTCTTTTGTACATGTTCAGCTATAATGAATAACTAGAAATGAAAAAATTAAAGATTAAGAATTTATAATTCATATCGAAATCTATTGAATGTAATATTAGCAATAGTTCTAGGAATATTTTACCTTGCACAGTGGTTAAGTAAAATTAACACATTGTAAACTCTCAGATAATAATTAAAATGATTTCAAGTATTAAATTTCACTTTTATAACATAAAACTTTACCAAAATAAATCTGTACAAGCTTATTATTAGGATACTACACATACAATACATATGGTATTACACCAAAAATAAAATTTATAGGCCATGAGATTTGAAATACTTTGTACTAAATTACATTACATGAATAAAAACTGATTTTATTTTTTTCTCGTTACTACTTCATTTTTTCAATAAAATTATTCAACTGTAATATCTTAACCCGTCCACGTTTCTTTAAAAGAAGCTTTAAAGGAAATGAAGTGTGCGCTTTTCACAATCATAATAAAAAGTCTTTATTCAAATGCAAGCCGTTAAGGTAGCCGCCAACTGGCTCGTCTATGTGGATGCTGCCATTAAAAACGTTACATTATTTCCATAGCACCTCATTTCTTAATAGCATTGTTCAAAGATCATACGATTAAAAATTTTTGTATAAAACAAAGTGTTATTGTAAAAAAAAAATAGTATTAAACATAGAGCTTTTTAAATTCTAGAAAGACGACTTTGATAGCTAATATTTGTAAATAATGAGAAAGGAATTATTTTATACTTCTTTTTAAATAAAAGTCTTTCTTTTAAATCCATGTTATTAGAAAAATACAGTGATGAGAAAGATCTTCTTAAAAATGAACTAATTCAAGTTCAAGTTCATGACAGAGAGCTTTTCTTTTAGAACTAATGAAAAAACTAAAATAATAAAGAAATTTATTAAAATTTTCTTTTTTTGCGTATAGTTTGGTGAATTCATCTAAAAAACGAATGCATTTGCATTCAAAGTTTATTTTTTTTAAATAATGCATTCGCAATAACACTCACTAAAAATTGCTACCCACCCCTTAGCATAGCAAGACTTTATTTTTTTGTTTTTCACTTCTAATAATTATCTTTCAAGAATCGGAAAAAAATAGTAGGTGCATAAAGCCCCTGCCAGAATAGGAGATTTATTGTTAGATGATTTTGTTTGAGAATTAAAAAAATAAAATTAAGGTATCTAAAACAACTAAATTATTAAGTTTATTTTCGAAAAATTGAACGCATTTGTATATAGTTTATATAAAATTAACACATTTATACAAACGCGTTCTTTCCATGGCTGTTAATAATTATTTTAAGGAGATATAATTGAAATAATTCTGATAGGGTTTCATTGTGACTAGTAATACTGATAGTTTTAGACTCTCCTTGTTATAAAATACGCATAACAGTCCTTTTGATTGTTATATATACAACAATTGAGTATTTCGTTCAATATATCAACAAAAACTCATTAAGAAAAATAATATTTAATGAACGTCATTAAATGAATTAAGTTTATAAAATGAAGATAATGTATGAACATTAAAAATACTCTAAAGAGAAAGGAAAGAGAATTCGATTATATTTGTGTTCAAACTACATATGACCAGTTTTTTAAAAATATACTTGGTTAGAATAGATTTATTTATTTTTTTATTTATCAATCTATCTTAACGAAAGATAGACAAAATGATATTTTAGGTACCGTTGTTAAAAATAATATAAATAGTGAATAATAATTCAATAGTATTGTATAAAAATATTTACTTTGTAATCAATTAACGTATAAAATAATGTTACTACATATATTTTCCCTCTGAAAAATATAAACTAAGAAGGATTAAAAAAAAATTTGAATAAGGTAGCTGTTTTTTACTTTATTGAGTCACTCTTTCTATAGTAAACAGTGATTTTCTTAATTGCTTTGAATCTTGACAAATAATAAGAGGAAAGAAAATAGGGTTACTGAAGATTAAAATCCATTTTAAAAGATAAACATTTATTTTACTTATTATTATTTTTATTATTATTCCCTTAAAAATTTACTATGATAGTTGTTGTTTTTATGTAAAACCGATATTAATTTTTTTTTTTTATCCGAAATATATATGTGTGTATATATATATTAAAATGATAAACAATATTCTTTGAAAAGAATATGCAAAAATAATGAATATATAGATTATATGTTATAACTTCATAATGAATATTGTGTTTTTATTTTTGAATTAGGAACAACGGTTACGACTGGACAAATTGACTCCATGAATCAATTACAATACATATATAAAAATTAAAAGTTGATTCAGTTCAAAAAACAGAAACTTGACTGAAACAGTGGTTATTTCATTTGGTTTTTAACATTGTAACACAGAAATATTTGAATCGAGTAGGTCCCATTCAATTTGAGGTTGTCTTTATATACATTTTTAAGAATTTTTATTACGTATAAATTTCTAAATTTTAATATTATTATATCAGATAGTATATCGGTGGCTCTGAACCTTGGTGGGTCCAAAGTATCCCTTAGCCGACTTACTCCCTAGTTGTGCTACTGTTTTTTTAAATAAACATGTACACAAAACACGAGCAGTGACACATCGTGAATTTTCCCGACATTCCAGCGACCTAGTTTTCACTGACTAGGAAATTTACTAAACATTATTCTGTTTATTAATGTAACCTGATATTTTTGTAAAATATCGATGTAAATTTATAAATTGAATAATAAAAATTTACAATAAAATCTTGTATATTCATTGTTTAAGGGAAAAATGTATATTTAAACTTAATATATGTGATTTGTTGTTTTAGATAATTAAATTTGGTAACAAGACTGTTAATTATTCTGTAGTTATTAAAAATTCAACACAAGAGTAAGTGTAAGGGTTAAATTTATAAATAAATAAATACCTGTCTATACTAATTGCGACTAAATTGAATATAGATGATGTGCTACAAATTACGTCCATGGCTATATAGAAATCACAAACAAACGGTGGTAAGCCCCATTTACCGTTCACCTGAAAAAATAATAAATTAAATATATTTTAAAGTGTAAGCGCACACGTCTAATAACAATGAATCAATTTGTATCAAGTTTGAAACAGTAGGAAGCTCTATTTTCAAAACATTGTTATTTATAGGTATGGAAAAAGTCACAATCTTGTTTTAAGAAAAATTGCGAAATCACGTACAAAAGTTAACACTAAGTATTCTATAGTAAACTTTAGCTATTTTCATACCTTTCTAGTCTTAAACCAAACTGAACAACTAACTTTAGTCTCAAAGAAAATCGTTTAGACCAGCAACTGATAACTTGTATTTATCTTGTATCGATTTTAAACTCAGTTAAAAAATAACTGAGTATTGATATAATAAGTAAACATTACTTTTCATAATAAACGAGTTAAAAATATATTGGAACTCTTTTGACTTTTTAGTGGTAATAATCTTTGAATGGTATCATTATTTTTATCAGAATTAATAGCACGGTTAATTTGATACCATCTTAAATGAATTAAAAAAGCGTTAACATAGAGTTAATGCTACGGTTAATTATAAAGTCTTAAAAATGAGGATAGCACACTAATAGCATAATGCGGAGTTGTTAAAATGTTATAAAGATTATAGTTAACCATCGTTTTTGCAATATAGTATGTTAACAATATTTATCGATTTACGCTCAGTTTTTTTTAGATTTCTTTAATGATTGTTTTGACTATGAGTCATTTAAAATGATATAATATAATAAAAAAGATATGTTGTTATCTGTATAAAAAATAAAGATAAATCAAGCATAAATTCATTAGTTATTATTATAATACCTCAGTTTAATACTCAATTACTTTATATGTATATTGTAAAATTAAACATCAAAGTAAAATTTACAAGTACATCACTAGAATGATGGCCTAGTGCCTATACTAGAAGTTATATTTTTAATTTTATAATAATCTTAGGAGTTGAAAACTTTATTGCCGTTAAATTTTACCATATATATATATATATTATTTATAATTATTGTTAAATGTTTACAAAGATAAATTATTTATCCTTATAAAACTGTATCTCATATAATATCATTCTTCATAACCAAAGTTTTGACATTTTTAATGAAATCGCTTAAACCTTAATTTATTAATAACATTAAATACTATAATAATTTATTTGACAAGTTCAAAAGGCTTATTGCTCTCTAATAACGCTTGGATATTGAAAAATGACATCCATACAGGACATTACACATATCCATGTATAATTATAATTGATATAATGTCGTAAATGTCGTATGAAAAATAATTTGAGGCTTTTTTCTTTATTGTATCAACCGTATAAATTAAGTGAAAATGCTAATAAATCTATTTGTCATAGATTTAATAATTTTTGGTTTTGTTACAGTTAATGATATTTATTAATCCAATTTCCTGGAGTTAAAAAAGCTACTCGATTATCATACTGTGACGAATTCATTAAGTATGTGGTCAGAGATACGTCGTAGTTAAATCTAAATTTTTACTATTTTTTTTTTCAAATATAATATTAAAGTAGATATTAAAAAAATAACCAGTATAGTGGGTGGGGGGTCCTGGCACAGTGGAAACGTGGAATAGTTAGAACTAGTACATAAGTATTGATAAGTATTAAAATCAATATTATAAAAAACTTTTATTCAAATTTGTAGATGACGTTTAATTTTTAGAAGAAATTGTTGAATATCAACTTCTACTTTCTTATTAATTACATTCTAATTAAAAGTCTAATGATTTATTAGTACAATGTATGAATAACTACATATTTTTAAAATTACATTTAGTAGGAAATATATATTCAATATTTTGAATTGTAATTTTCACAGAGAAATTATAAAAGGTATAAAATTGATTTATACAAAGTGATTCCATTAATATTAACCACTTGATTCCTTTTAAACCAATAATTTTATATGAAAATTCTTTATGGTATTTCTTAATTTTATATATTCCTCGGTAAAATAATTTTAACTTTTCATGCAAAATTCCTATTTAGAATCCCCTGTGTGCAATTAAAGGGTCAGATTTTCAAATAATTTATACTAAAGAAGAGCAAAATATATAAGAAGTTTATAAAAAAAATTTTTTTTAATTCATTCATTTTTTTAAGTAGTTATGACAATTTAAAAAAAAAATAGTTTAAAATATATGGATATAATAAAAATTTATCACTTGTGATCAATTAAAACCATAAAACTAATTAAAAACGTAAATAATTACAAAGAACTTAGTATCAGAGAAGCAATAGAAATGTTTAAAAATAAAAACAATTTAGTTAATTGGGATCTTGGCCCACTGAAAAATTCATTATTAAACTTGTGTAAACTGGCAAAATGTGATAATATTACTTAGTGATAACGTCACTAGGTGATAAGGTCACTAGGGGTATATAAGGGAGTTTTTTCTAGTCGGGGTGTCAGTATGTGTTTAGCGTTGATAATGGTAACATTGTTTCCGAAATACGTATCCGCGACTTTTCATTAATTTTTTTGTGGCTTTTGAGTTTAATATTTTTAATATTTTTTAGTTTTTTTAAATTAATAATATTTTTAATATAGTTTTAATTTTACTTANTTGTTTCCAAAATACGATTCCGCGACTTTTCATTAATTTTTTGTGGCTTTGAGTTTAATATTTTTTAGTTTTTTAAATTAATAATATTTTTAATTTAGTTATAATTTGACTTAAATATATGAATATTTATCGATTTTGAAAATCACAATTTTTGTGGAAATTTTTACGATTTATAAGGAACGTGAGAAAAATTTTCAAATTTCGAGAGTAATGATACGTAGTAACTAGATACGAATTGTTATATTTTTTACATATCGTTGAGAAAAATCGATCTTGTAAGAGCTGAGATAAAGTAGTAACAGACACAAAAAATTTAATAAATAAATAAACACATCATGGTAAAATGGATACCTTCTCGGGATTGTATCAAAGCAAAAATTTTTAAAAATGTCGAAGTTTACAGATTTTTTAAATATTATTTTTTGGGGGAATTTCTTCCATTTACAGGGAACAATGAAAAGAGGGCAATTTTTTCAATTAAATACAATCTATGTTTTTTGTCGTATCCATGACAGAAATCGGTTCCGTGAAACCAAATAAAAGTATGAAAATTGCATGTATTGTGTATTTTTGTTTAATTTTGTTATGCACAATAACAAATTATTTGAAATTACGTTTGTCGTCATCGTGATGCGCGATAATAAATATTTTTAGACCCTTTGTAAAAAAATTTCACTTCAAAAATTAATAGTTTTTTGGCTTTATGTTGATGCTAAAAATATATCACCAAATTAATACAGCGCCGGTAAAAACCGATTATCAAAGGATATTATGCGGAGTTGAGTCTACATTACTATTTTAATATTATAGGTTGACAACTGAATCGTACGGATTAGAGCATTTGTCGTTCCAGGTGGTAGTCTGCTTAAAAGTATTAGTCGAGCAAATGGAAAAAGATTACTCGTTAACGTGCGCGGCAATTAAAAACAAATTTTACATGTATATATATATATTTAGAAGGCGTTGTAACAGTTATTTCAGCAGTCCAGTTATGCAACGAACTTATTGGAGTATTTAAGCGAGCAGCTATTGTGTTTTATAAATGAATTTCAAACAAAGGCGATAATATAAGAAACGCAATAGATCATACAACTAATGATGTACAGATAATCGAGATAACAGTAAGAAAAATACTTAGATCTTCCTGGGATCCGAACAAGAATGTACTTATATATTAATTAATTTATATATAATAAGGTTAGAACCAATTTAACTAAGCGTAAAATACTATCAGAAATAGCAATTATGTACGACGCGATAGGTTTATGAGGACCAGTCATAATGAAGACAAAATTGTTTATTCAAAATTTATGGCACTTCAATTTGGCGTGGGGTGAACCAGAAGATACTTGTAAAGAATGGTTTGATAATAGAGAAAGCTACATACATTAAATAGTTAAAACAGTTTCGTGAGAAATTATGTGCGATGACGAAATTGTTACCATATATTATATGAATTTTTAGACGCGTCAGAAAAAGCATACAGTGGATGCATACAAGGCAATTGATTAACTATGCTTCACGAATTATCTTTAAAAGTAAAAAAAATGGTTGCAATAATTTTCTTTTTAAATAAAAATCCTTTAATTAAAAAAATGTATACAACTTCATTATCTGACTGTTCACGACGTTTATTCAAACGTGACAAGAACCGAGATCAAAATGAAACAACATAATGACATAACAAAACTACGTCAATTATTAAAATCATAACTAAATTAGAATATTAATTAAGGCTAATTTAACTATTGCCAATGGGTGCCTTTCTTTAACACGATGAGTGCCATAGTGACCTTATAGCACTTTATCGCAGCAAAATTAGACTTCCCCGACAACAACGTATCAACATCGGGTATCCGCGCAACATAACTTTGTGTTCTCTTTATTTTTTTAATTAATCTAACATTAGTTTTAATGTTTGTTACTACAGGTGACATAAATAAAAAAGTGATTAAATAAATTATAAGATCTGAGAGCAATTTGTATTTTTTTACATAAATTAAATATAAAACTATAAATTCAATTTTTCATAGATTTATTACAATTTAAAAAAATAGTATTATTTAAATAATAAATCAACTGTTAACTTTGTAAACAAAATATCAAAAATTAAATATTAAAAAAACTTTTAAACTGTTTAAAAGTATAAACAAAAAAACAATTAAATTATTCCAAAATCACTACCAAAAATCCTATTTTTGATTGCGATAATTTTTAAAACAAGATTTTGAGCACAACCACGGTTTGTGACTGATTTTATACACACAATATTTTCTCAATAATACACGGTGTCCCACTCGGTATTTTCAAGAAAGCATAAGTCTTGTGATAAATATATATATATATATATTTATCCAACCTTTATACAAATATACAGGTAAATTTATGGTATACTCTAACCGTATTGAATTTTTAGA